TGAATAAAAGAGACTTGTTAAGCTGTTGTTGTGTTGTGTTGTTGCTTGATTATGATGTTATATTGTAATGATATTTTTGATTAGAAAGTGTATACAAAAATTCAGTGTTAGATTGAAAAACAGGTAACGAGGTAACGGGTGGGTTCGCCCTGATTACATGTTCGCGCCGAGTGGTTTCACCTTGAGGGGTTTCGCCCCGATTATACCAGTAACTTGTAACTAATGATGTCAATTTTTTGTGGATTTTCGCAGTTTGCATCGAGAAATCGCCAATGTTCTTATTTATGGTTTTTGAGTGTGTGCTCTCTGAAAGGTTTTTATTACGTATGTATTTAATTGTTGGAGTAAAATTGAAACTATTATACAAAACTTATTTATTTTACATCAATGAAGTTGTTATTTTCCCATGTTCATGAATTTTGAAAGAAAAGTTCGTATCATCTGTTACTAATATCGGAAATAATTATCAGTATTAGGGTGATGGCAATTTATAGGAAAATTGAATTTAATGAAAGTGCTCATTAATTATATTATTGTAAACACCCACTGATCAAACAACTTCTGCTTAAATAAACATCAAGTACTGTATGTTTGAAGAAAACCACGCAGGACGAAACCACTCAGGGCAAACAGGGAAATGGCACGAAACCACTCAGCGTGAACAGGTGATCAGGGCGAAACCACCTGCATTTGAAAAACGAAGAATATGAAACTTTTTTAACTCTCGCCAAGAGTAATTAATCAAACCTGAGTCATCTCCTCATGCACTGAGGTCAGGATGACCCCTATTGATTTTTGGTTCAAAAGGTCAAGCAAGAACAATTTAAATCAAATTTGGTGCATTTTATATCAATGCCAATTGAATTATGAATAATTTAAATTACATTCAATTATTGCTTAAGACACTAATCTTCACTTGACTTGAAATTTTTTTTTGTTTTGAAAAAAATAACTTCCCATGATCACACATCCCATGGTTAAAGCAATAATTTAATGGAGAAGAGGATCAATTGCACTGAATTTTTGAGTACATTTTCAAATTTTCCACTGTGCAGCAATGATTATTTTTGCTGATTTTTTGCTCAAGTGTGCAGATATTTCCATTATTACCGAAGCTTTATATACATCTGTGCTTCAAAATTTGCTCATCTATTTAAATGGTTTATCAATTAAAAGTTGATTTTTCATATGTTAAGGAGCCCTATCCCTTAGCCAGGAACAGTAACCCTATTATTTTTTATTTGAATACGCCTCGAAGCTTGAAATGGAAATTGTAACAAAATTGCATTAGTAGATACACATTATTTTGTGAGCTAGTGACATTTACACAAGTATTTTTAGTTATTTAACAGCAGATTTTCAGAGCTTGAGGGAAATTCCAGAAATGATCTGTTTTTCCTCTTTTTTGCATTAGCCAATTATTGCAGTGGCACAGAAAAGGAAAACTCTACAGGTCACAGTATTTTGGGATATAATTTAATGGAAAAGTAGTATTTGTAATTAGTAAACTTAGGAGATTTCTTTGTTTGTTTGTTTCTCTCTCTCTCTCTTTTTTTTTTTTATAATCTGTTTTAAATGAATAGTATTGAGTGAAAATTGTACATGTAATTTCTTTTGAATTTTGTATTGTTGGTCAAAAGAAATATTTGACACCAGTACTTCAAATTGCTTAATTTTGTTTATTTTGAAAGGTAAGTGGTAGCTAGTAGGAAGTTTTATTAGATTTTGTATCTAAAATATGGTGCACCCTGTATTAATCAGTGTGTTTGTCTTGCCATTTATACAGCTTTGTAATTTGTCACGATGCACTTTTGTTTGTATGGTGTTTAACGTCCCTCGAGAATTTTTCACTTATATGAAGACACCATCATTTGCTAGTGGAGGGCTGCTAATTTGAACCTTTGCTCGGTACTTGGGGCCATTGAGCAGTGAGGGATCTTTTTCGTGCTAACACCTACTGCGACATGGGACCTCGGTTTCTAAAGTCTCATCCGAAGGACTGGTCTCCACGTCCCGCAATGGATTCGAACCCAGGAAGCAGGGATCAACTCCCTATTTTGAATAGCTTAATAAAGCTACATAGCTATTTAAATTAAATCAAGAGATTGTGCTGGACCTGTTTATGGGAGAAATTTCATATTTTTTTTTATATAAGTATATGCAGCCTCTGGATAGAAGAAGACACACATGCATTTTGAATTTGATTGCTACTGTAATAGATCCAATGGATAGTAGGAGATGGAGAATTTTTTGATATCTTGATAAAAGGTTTAAGTTGATTGTAAACATTTCATCATACTGGCATATGACACTATATCTTGATTATTATTCATCAGTGATGCACAGTTGATTCTTATGTATTTAACAGATAGATTTTTATGCCCCACCATGAATATGGCCGGGGCATATAGTGTTTGTCATGTCCATCTTCCGTCCTTCCGTCCTTCTGTCTGTCTTTCTGTCATGCCTTGCGTTTAGCTCTGTTCAAAGCCCAGTTTCAAAGAAACTATCAAAGATATTTTTATCAAACTACATATGCTGATAGATATTGATGAGAGCTATGCAACTGCATCAACATTTTTTGACCTTGACCCTTTGTTTGACCTTGACCTCACTTTTCTTAAATTAGTGTTTAGCTCTGTTTTAAAGATACCATTCAAGAAAGTGTAATCAAACTTCATATGTTGATACATACTGATGTAAGCTATTCACTGCATCAACATTTTTTGACATGGACCTTTCCTATGACCTTGACCTTACTTTTCTTAAATTTAATACTATTCAAGATAGTGTAATCAAACTTCATATGCTGATACATACTGATGAGAGCTATTCAACTGCATCAATATTTTTTTGACCTTGACTTTTCCCTTGACCTTGACCTCACTTTTCTTAAATTAGTGTCAAATTTCATATGCTAATACATACTGATGTAACCTTTTCAACTGCATCAACATTTTTTGACCTTGACCTTTACTTTGCCCTTAACTTCATTTATTGTAAATTAGTGTTTAGCTCAGTTTAAATAAACCATTCAAAAAATATATTTTTCAAACTTAATATGCTGATTCGCATTTGTGAGAACTATCCAACTGCATCAAAAACGGTTGACCTTGAACTTTCCTGTGACCTTGACCTCACCTTTCTTGAATTTGCATTTTGCTTAATTTAAAGAAACCATTTAAGATATATTTATGAAAGCTTATGCACTTGTACATAATTTGGTGAGAATTAATCTATATCCCAACTTTTTAGATTTCAATTTAAATTTTTAAGAAACTATTCAAGATATTCTCATCAAATTTCATACTTTAATACAAATTTTCATGTTGCATTACTAATATACCCTCGGCGGGGCATTCATGTCCTACGGACATATTTCTAGTTCAAAATTATGTTTTAAGTTCATTTGGTCAAGGTCAGCAATCATGGTAACATAAGGTAACAATTATGCATGTAACATCAGTACAGTGATGTGCATTGAAGTGGTAAAATTTTCATTTGAATGGAACATTTTGGTTTCTTATAAAGTGTAGATTATTACAAGACAATGTGCCCATTTCTTAAGAAACAAGAAAGCAATACTCTTTGCAATTTTGTTAGACACCTCACTCACAGACTGGCAGTGCAAGTATCAAAAACCTGGTTTTTGAATTCAAATTTTCCTATTCTATTGTGTTTTATACAATGATCTTGTTTGCTAATACAGCCTATCATTGGTAAGAGTGTTGATCAGTTTTTTCATACAAATTATTAGGGCATTGTTTTTTCTGATTTGTCAACTGATTGCTCAATTTACCTGATAAAAGGATATATAGGGTAATTTTGATAATGGGTTGGAAATTTTAAAAAATTTTAGAATTTGAGACAAAACAAGCTCTTTTTTCCCTTTCTTTCCTCTTTCTTTCCTTTCTCTCTCTCTTTTTTTAATTAAATATGTAGAAGGATGTACAGTTGAGCCACAGTAATCAGGATGTTTCACCTGTGGGGAACAGAACATTTATATCTACAAGTGATGTGGGGTAAATTTAAGTATTTCTGATGCTTCATAAATCCAGATGATTCCCTCAGGAACAAGTGTCCTTATTAACAAAGCTTGACTGTGCATCAGTAGTATTGATCAATATTCATCTTTAACTTTGTCCTTTGTAGATGCCAAGGAGAAGGTATTGGAGGATGAGTGGTGCCAGGAAAGAGATACGGACTGACAAGACTGAGGAGACTGGCCTCATGAAAAACAGTAAAACAATGTCTGACCTGGACTTGACTGAGGAGACTGGCCTCTTAAAAAACAGTAAAACAATGTATGACATTAGAATGACTGAGGAGACTGGCCTCTTGAAAAACAGTAAAACAAATGTTGATCCTGAGGAGCCTGCCCTCAGGTTACAAAAAAACAGGAAAACCAAAGAAAGTTGTGAAACAATTTTGCTGAATGAACTTTGTGAACAAGGTCTGCTCAATGAATCTGCTGAAATGAATTTGCAAAACAATGTTGAAAAAGAATTGACAAATGATACCACAATCACTAAAACTGTATTACACAATCATGGTGTAATGGCTGAAGAAATCAAATCACTCAGACATGAAGACAACCAGGTATGCAACATAAAATTAGTTTTTGGATCATTTCATCAAGGAGATACAAGGTTTTCATCATTTTCTAGAGGAAGTCAGTGTACCTGCAATGCTCTTACTATGCTGATTAAAAGTTATGAAGGATTTTCTTTCTCAACTGAATTTATTGATAGTACTTTAATAGCAGGAGATCAGGTTTATATTATGTTGGTCAAGAATTTGCTGCAAAAACAAATGCTTCTTAACAAACTACTTAAATTTGATGAGTTGCCTAGTAACTTAACTTTAGGAGAAAATCATCATGTCATTGAGAAATTTGAAACCATGTGGGGGTTACTTGTCTCTGAAGAACAAAACAGTCAAGTGAAAACATTGCATCAAGCTTTAGAAGAGGCATTTCAGGTTTCTAGATATTTCTGATAATGATAGGAGCAATTTGTTCTGGTATGTACAAAGTGTCAAGCAATGAATATTACTTCTTTGACTCTCATTCACATGACAATGATGGCATGTCTGCCTGTGATGGTAAATCAGTACTAGTACAAAGCAAGGGTATTGATGATTTGGTGTCATATTTGTACAGTATGTATAACAGCATGCATATAGACTTTGCAATGCAGTTTGAAATCTTACCAATCTCAATTAAGACTTTGAATCATAGTTTTCCAGAAAAAAACCCATTACAGAAAAGATTTTACAAAATGGATGAACATCTCTCAACTGTGACAAATTCAGAAGATCAAAACCTATGCAGAAAAAATTATATGAGAGAGTACATGAGGAAAAGAAGAGAGAATGTACAATTTAAGCAAGTCGAAAGAAACAAAGGTGCACAAGCAAAAAAGTTAAAGAGACAAAATGATGATATGAAAAGCAAAGAAACTGAAATGGGAACAAATACAAGGAAATTAAAAAGGCAGAATGCTGAAATAAAAAAGAAAGAAAATGAAAGAGAAACAGCTGCTAGAAAGTTAAAACGACAAGATATCGAAATTAAAGAGAAAGAAAGGAAAATGGATAAGTTTGCAAGAAAGATGAAGCGACAAGATGCTGAAATTAAAGAGAAAGAAAGGAAATTGAATACTGCTGGTAGGAAGGTAAGAAGACAAAATGTAGAAATAAAAGAAAAAGAAAGGGAAATGGATAAGTCTGCAAGAAAATTAAAGCGACAAGATATTGAAATTAAAGACAAAGAAAGGAAAATGAATACTGCTGGCAGAAAGTTAAAAAGACAAAATGAAGAAATAAAAGAGAAAGAAAGGGAAATGAATACTGCTGGTAGAAAGTTAAAAAGACAAAATGAAGAAACAAAAGAGAAAGAAAGGGAAATGAATACTGCTGGTAGAAAGTTAAAAAGACAAAATGAAGAAATAAAAGAGAAAGAAAGGGAAATGAATACTGCTGGTAGAAAGTTAAAAAGACAAAATGAAGAAATAAAAGAGAAAGAAAGGGAAAAGAATACTGCTGGTAGAAAGTTAAAAAGACAAAATGAAGAAATAAAAGAGAAAGAAAGGGAAATGAATACTGCTGGTAGAAAGTTAAAAAGACTAAACGAAGAAATAAAAGAAAAAGAAAGGGAAATGGATAAGTTTGCAAGAAAATTAAAGCGACACGATATTGAAATTAAAGACAAAGAAAGGAAAATGAATACTGCCAGTAGGAAGGTAAAAAGACAAAATGTAGAAATAAAACAGAAAGAAAGGGAAATTGATATGTATTCAAGAAAACTTAAGCGACAAGATACTGAAATTAAAGAGAAAGAAAAGAAATTGAATACAGCTGGTAGAAAGTTAAAGCGTCAGAATGTTGAAGTGCAAGAAAGAGAAAAAGAGGGCAGTAGAATTTCAAAAAGAAAATTCAGAGAAAACCCAATTGCTCTTGAAAAAGAACGGTTAAGAAAACAAGCTAAACGAAGTAACATTTCCTATAGAGAAAATGAGAGATTGCTAAACAGGGAACAAAAACAAAAGAAAAGAACAGATACAGAATATTGTGAAAAAGTAAATGAACAACAGAGACGGAAAGGATTTGGACTAGATATAGCGGATTGCATCCAAAATTTTCATGAACAGATTAGACATGGTCCAATTTTTGTATGCTCATGTTGTCAGCAAACATGGTTCAGAGAGAGTGTTTCTAAAGTGGAAAACACCAAACTAGATGATAAATGTAAAAACAAGTTTCTTACTAGTTCTAGGTCTGTTGAAAATATGGAATGGATATGCAATACTTGCTATTCATCACTTAGAGAAAACAAAATTCCAAAATTGTCTGTCTTTAATGGTATGATGTGGCCACTTAAGCCAATAGAATTAGACTTGTTTCCTTTAGAAGAAAGGCTTGTGTCTCTGAGAATACCTTTTATGCAAATTAGAGAGTTGCCAAGAGGTGGACAGTATTCTGTAAGAGGAAATATTGTGAATGTTCCTGTTGATATTCAACCTACTATAAATAGCCTGCCAAGAAAATTAGATGAAAATGTCACAGTTCCTGTAAAATTAAAGAAAAGGTTGTCGTATCAAAAATGTGATTTTCATGAAAATGTACGACCAACAAAAGTACTGATGGCATTACACTGGCTTATAAACAACAGTGACTTTTACAAGAATGCAAACATTAATGTTGATGATAACTGGTTTCAAGAAATTACAACTTCAGCAAGTGAAATTATTCAGGAATTGGTGAAAACACAAATGACAAGCAACCAAAATATTGATTGTCTGGAGACGGTTGATAATGATGACGATGAATTCTGTGAAGTAGATGGAGTTGGTGGAGATGGTAATTGCGATACTCTGTTAGATGATACTTCACAGGACATGAATCAGGTTTACACATTTGCTCCAGGTGAAGGACAACGCCCGCTTAGTTTATATCAAGATCCAAGTGCTGAATATTTATCTTTTCCGTCAATTTTTTGTGGAAAGGGAAGATTACAAGATGATGAAAGACAAGTACGTGTGTCTTATGCAGATATAGCTAAATGGGAATTAAGAAGTGTTGATAGACGTGCTGCCCAGTCTGTTCCAAATTTGTTTTTTAAGTTGAAAAAAATACAAATGAAGCAAGTTACAGACAAATGCAACCTGGCTCTTAGGAAATGCAAAACCAAAGGAAAATCCATGACTGCAAACGAAATGAAAAATCCTGAAAATGTGAATAATCTTGTTAGACATAATGAAGGTTTCTTTGTGTTCAGGCAGTTACGAAATTCTCCGGCATATCTTGAGACTAGAAAAAAAGATGTTTTTGCTATGATCAGACAGCTAGGTCTACCAACATGGTTTATGTCACTGTCTGCTGCAGATACAAGATGGAATGATCTCATTAGAGCACTTGGGGTGTTAAATGATAGAAAGGAATACACAGATGAACAAATTGAGAGCATGACTTGGTTTGAAAAATCAAAATTAGTACAAAAGGATCCTATCACCTGCTCTAGGTACTTTGATCATAAGTTCCGTATGTTTATGAATTCAGTGTTGAGAAGTGATCATCATCCAATTGGCATTGTAAAAGACTTCTTTTACAGAACTGAATTTCAGCAAAGAGGATCACCACATATTCATATGATTGTTTGGATACAAAATGCACCAAAATATCATGAAAGTAATGAAAAGGAGATAGTAAATTATGTAGATAATTACCTGAAATGTGAAAAGAATGAAGAGGATGATTTGACAGGCTTACAAGTACACAAACATTCACAAACATGTAAAAAGAGAGGTAAAGCTGTATGCAGATTTGGCTTTCCTCTTCCTCCTCTTGAAGAGACTTTGATTTTGGAGCCACTAGAGTGTGATGTTGACAAATACAAGAAAATATATGATGACATTCAAAAACAGTTAAATGATATGAAAAATGGATGTGATTTGTCCTACGAGGAACTCCTGGGCACAGTACTAAAGATATCTAAGGAAGATTACATTAAATGCATTAGAAGTTCACTTAGAGGTCCAAAAGTTTTCCTAAAAAGAAAGCCATGTGATATGAGGGTAAACTCATACAACAGTGTTGTTCTTGATGCTTGGAAAGCTAACATTGATATTCAGTATATTTTGGACCCATATGCCTGTGCAATGTATATTGTTTCTTATATAAGTAAATCTCAAAGAGGGATGAGCGATTTACTTAACAGAGCTGCAAAGGAAGCTAGAGAAGGAAATCTTGACATAAAAAGACAGGTGCGCCACATTGGAAATCATTTTCTCAACAGTGTAGAAGTTGGAGCACAGGAAGCAGCATATTTAGTGTTACAAATGCCAATGACAAAAGCATCAAGAGATGTTGTTTTTCTCAACACAAGTCCCTCAGATGACCGAGTAATTCTCATCAAAACAGATGCTGAATTGGAAAAGTTAACGCCAAATTCTACAGATGTGGAATGTAGCAATGTAATTAAACGGTATGCAAAACGCCCAAAGCAGCTTGAAAACTGGTGTTTAGCCGATTATGTATCACAGCTAGATGTTGTATTTCCTAAAGATAATGAAAAAGAGTTCGCTGAAAATGAAGTGAATGATGATGATCAGGACAATCAGTCAGATGACGAAGACAATTCAGATCTTGATTTTGGTGAAAGTGATACACTTGTTACTCTAAGAAATGGCATAAAAATTAGAAGACGGAAAGTACCAAGGGTAATTAGATATGTGAGGTTTAATATAAAAACTGATCCAGAAAATTACTATAGAGAAAAACTTATGTTGTTTATGCCTTGGAGACATGAATCCATTGATCTAATATCAGGAACTGACACCTTTGAGAAGTCATTTCATCTGAAGAAGTCCTTTCTTACACACAAGGTCAAGGAATATGAATTCAATGCTGAACAGCTTGATGCAGCTTTGCAAATGGCAACTGAGGATTTTTCAGAAGCTTTTGATGAATTGGCACCAAATGCCCAACAAAGAGAAGCAGAAGATGAAAATGAGGGATCTCTTGAATCTGAAAACTTTGTTCAATTTAATCCTGAGAGGCCTATTGAACAGAGACAGTATGATATAGGATCAGATATTGGCATTCCATCAACAAGACAAATAACTGAAGAAAGTTCTGTTAGATTGCCTGACAGTGAATACTTGAAACTTTTAGGAAGTCTAAATGTAAAGCAGCGGGAATTTTTTAATCATGTCTTGCATTGGGTCAAAACAAAGAGAGAACCTATTTATTCATTTTTATCAGGAGGTGCTGGTGTTGGCAAATCTGTTTTGATAGGAGCACTTTATCAAGCTCTGCACAGATATCTATGTTCCATAGAAGGTGAAAATCCAGATGATATAAGAATACTTCTTTGTGCTTATACTGGCAAGGCAGCATACAACATTGGAGGGGCAACTATAGCATCTGCTTTCCATCAAAAAATTAATCAAAGTCAACAAAGCTTGCATTGTGATGAATTGAATACATTTCGTACGAAATACCAAAACCTAAAATTGATCATAATTGATGAGATATCCATGGTTGGAAATAGGTCATTAGCACTCATTGATAGTCGTCTGCAACTTCTTACAGGCATCAAGAAACCATTTGGTGGCATTAGTATCATAGCTGTTGGTGATTTCTTTCACCTTAAACCTGTAATGGACACCGTTGGATCTTTCAGGATTTAAATCATGATGCTCAAGCTCTTGCAAACAATCTTTGGAAGGAACATTTTTGTATTTTTGAGCTGGATGAAATAATGCGTCAGAAAGATGATCTTCAGTTTGCTCAACTTCTCAATCGTCTTCGCTACAATGCAATGACAGCAGAAGACATGAATGTAATACACAGATGCATGATAACAGAAACAAGTGAGAATTATCCACATCATGCTCCTCATCTCTTTACACAGAATTCTAAAGTAGATGCATACAACAATCAGTTGATTGAAAAACTTGAAGGAGAAAAAGTCACAGTGAATTCAGTGGATACTGTTCTTAAGGATTATTCAAAGGAACTTAAGGAAAAGCTGCTGAGGTCTTTATCCAAAGCAGATGATGTTAGCAAAACTGCTAATTTGATGCAAAAATTGATTCTTGCTGTTGGGATGATATATGATATCTCAGTCAACGTTGATGTATCAGATGGTTTAACAAATGGGTCATCATGTAAGGTAGAATTAATTGAAAGGAGAATGGAAGGCATATTGAGACCAAGCATTGTTTGGGTAAATTTTTTAGACTCTGCTATTGGAAAAACAACTCGCAAGAAATACAAACATTTGTTTCATGATGGAATTACTGAGGACTGGACACCAATTTTTGAAGTTCAGCGGTCTTTTGTATTGAATTACAATACTTTTCAGAGGATTCAATTTCCATTACGGCCAGCTGCAGGGAAGACAGTTCATAAAGCCCAAGGTTGCACTGTTGATGAAATTGTAATTGATTTGTCTCAGACTAAAGTAAGGAAAAATCCACATATTCACTATGTAGCACTAAGCCGGGTACGTTCAGTAGATCATCTGCACATCCTAAACTTCAATGAGCAGGCATTAGCTATGGATGACCAAGTGGTAGAGGAAATGGAAAGAATGAAAAAAGAAGCACCACTACAACTTTGTTATGTCCCATTATACCAGGTTGATTTGCATTCTTTCAAAATTGCTTTCAACAATTGTAGATCACTTCATAAACACTTCCCACAAATTCATAATGAACCAAATATTGTTGCATCAGATGTAGTTGGATTCTCAGAGACAAGATTAACTAGTGCAGATATAGCAGAAAATTATCAACTACAGGGATACACTGCAGTATTTAACCATGAGAGTACAGATAATCTGGACAGACGCCCATATCATGGAACAGCAATATATGTGAAAAATGATTACAAAACAACCTGCATCTCAAAGTGGAACAGTGGTTCTATGGAGTTCATCATTATACATGCACAATTAAACCAAAGTAGAGACGTCCAAGTTGTACTTATTTACAAATATCCATCTTGCTCTTTTGGGGATTTTAAACAAAATGTGGAAATGCATATAAAACCCTTGATTGATGACCAGAAAGATTTGGTATTCTTAGGAGATTTTAATTTTGATTTGTTTGCTGGGCATACAGACTTTCTAACATTTATGGAGAAGGGCTTTAATTGTAAACAAATTGTGCATAAGACTACTCATGACTCTGGTTCTAAACTTGACTTGATTTTTACAAACATTTCCCCATGTCGAACAGATGTGATTGAAGCATACTGGTCAGATCATAAAATGGTATACTGCACATTTGATAAGACTGTGCATTAAATACAATGGGGCACCAAAGTAAACACCTTTCTGAGGGAGATGCGTAAGAATGCCCCCTCCCTCATCCCCTTTGTTCCAGTCTTTTATTATACCCCTCAAACAAAGTTTGAGGGGTATACTGGAATCACCATGTCCATCTGTCTGTGTTTTTGTCAATATCTGAAGTTTTTATTTTTAAATTTTTTTATGATAATGGTCATATGCATGACCATCAAATCAAGAAAGGTAATTTAGACAAGATCAAGGTCACAGAGTTCAAATTGTTTAATTCTGACAGGCAGACAAAATTTTGGTTTTGGATTAAACATGCACCAGGACATACTTTGGCAAAGTTTGCTCATGAAAAAGAGGTCTGTCATGATCTCATGTTATGTTTATTTGTAAAAGGTGATATTGTACTATGATGATAGAGATTATCATGATCTTCAGCTAATTACAGTCAACAAGATTCAGGCCATTGGAGTTAGCAGTATAATTTTAGCAGGATTGCAGGATTTAAGTATATATCTTTCCAAGTTGCTTGTTGGGGTATTAGTCCTATTTAGGCAGTTTTAGTTGTAAGACACCTGGCTTATAACATATAAATTATAATTTTTTTATTATAAAAAAATTAACCTTTGAAAATATTAATTTTATACCTTATCTTTGTTATATAATACATTTGTTTTTGAGGTGAAGACTGTCCTTTGCATATTTAATTCTTATAATATTGTATTGATGTATATAATTATGTTTACTCATGGCTTAATTCAGATTTCCTTTGTAATTTTTTCCCCCTATTACAACAAGTTACACTGAATTATTAATGCATATTTAAATTAAAATGATAAGGTCATACTCATACAATAATTACATTTTCACCTATTACCTGTAGGTCTGTTGTTGAAGTCTCAGCTTATTTCTCAAAATTTGTAAAATTAGGAACAACCCTTTTCATGTATATGTATATATTATACTGGTATTTAACAATGTATAGTTTTGAATATTTGTTGAAATTTTTCTGCTTCCATTATTGTTACATGTAATCCTGAATATTCTTTTTGTAGTTAATTTTATAGGATATAGCTTTTCCATTGCGAGTACATGTATTACTGTTTAGAGGGATAGTGTCTCACAACCAGTATAATGTTTCAGAAGTCATGCTCCATCTCTTCCTTTGTGACATTTGGATTATATTTTATACTTAAAACTGAATTTTTCTGTTTGGAGCATTTTATTGTGATACCTTGTGATCTTTCTACAATGGAAGGATATTCTTTCATAGACAACAGTGATTGTGACTCTAAACCATGCCATTAGCTGTGATTCTGACTCTTTTAAACAATTGTATGTGAATTTGACACTCCCAGAAGTAATTGACTGATATAATAAATCACTGAAATGAATATGTGACACCTTATAGAATGTGGAAACCATCGAATTTGATCTCTTCATTGAACATGTTGAAAGACTTTTGCTCAAATTATTTTGAACATTTACTTGCATGCATGGATGCCAGTCAGTTTTCTAACTTGCTTGCCAGAAAAGTGTGATAAAACTGGTTATAAAAAATGTTAATTATACTTTAATTTCATCTTATTTGTATTGTGAATTTCTATTTAAAACTTGAAAACATGTCTAAATAACAATCACATTGCTTACATGTTAAATAATTACATTATACAATATATGTTTTATTGTGAAATCTCAGATTTGTTGATTCAAATGAATTCCAACTAGCATGGGACATGTAGATTTTGTGACTATCAAGTAATTAATGATGACTTCTATTAGGTCAACTCTGTCGTGTACAAAATGTAATTTACAGGTAAGTATGGAAAGAGGGGGTCAATGGCCAGCCCGTAAAGGGAGGTAAACCTACCTCTTTCAGAAAAAAAAATATTGGAAAAAATGCTCTTAAATGAAAACACATGATATTACTACACTTAGAATTTTAAAAAACTCTAGAAAAAAAAGATCCTTTAATTTTTCAATAAAATTCTTTGAATCTGAGGTTCTGGTATTGCAATTATATAGTCAAAATAAACATCATTATATTGTCAATTATTATTGAACAATTAAAACATAAGGCAAAATATTTTGTATATAGCAAAACCTGGGAAAAAAAACTTTTTTTCTCATCCATTTACACATAATCATTCCCTTTTTCATTGGGAAAGGTTATCCATATTGATTGATTATATTTTTTTAAATGACCAACTTAAGACACGTGTGCATATTATCACTGGATTTTCATGTGAGCACTACTTAAATTTTTCCATGCTGTTTACTTTTCATTGTTTATTGTGGTTTGCAATTTTTAACTTCAGATTTAATTATGATTGTATACTGATTACAAAATACATGTTTTTTACTTATTACTTCACATGTATAAACATGAAAGTAGTTTAACAACAAATGAGTAATATATTTCAAATTATATATGTGTATACTGAAGTCTCAAATCTGTCAACATAATTTGATTTATACCAGCTTGTTTAACATTTGATCTCTTATTTTTTCCCTTATAAAGTTGCATAGTGTTGTCTGCAGATTATCACTTAAGACTTGCATAATTTTTTTGTAAATGAATAAAGTTTTCTAACACAATCACAATTATGAGTTTTCTTATTGACTGAAAGGAGCTAAATAACTGATTGTACTTGTAAATAATGCAGAATAAGCTTGAAGAGTCTTGGGGTAATAAAAGAAACAATAGTATGAACATGTCTAAAGCCTTCATACTTCTACGTATAAATACACATTTGGTCCGTGAACTTGAAATTCAGGCATCCCCATTTTCATTCACTTAGTACAACCTAAGGTCATAATATTTCATGTCAGGAAAGATAAAAAAAATTTTTTTTTTTAAATTTGAAGAGCTGGTTCAAGATGACTCAGGTGAGCGATGTGGCCCATGGGCCTCTTGTTGGCATTATGTTGGGAAATGATACTTTTATTATTTTGGCTAAATAATTTAAGGTTCCAATGCCATATTCTTTATAAACAACATTTAAAGGTTGTTAAGTATAGGTGGTTGGCCCATGGCAATTTCTCGACTTTCAAAAATAGCATTGACAGCAATGTTTTTTTATTACCAGGCTATTCGGAAATATAATGTGACAAAAATTATATCCTCAGAAACTTTGTGTTCTAGAGTACTCATTTGTATAAAAAATTATAATAATCTGACATCATAACAAACAAAAATATGACGTTATATGCACAAACACCATAAATTAGGTATTGCCAAAAAAACGGCGACGTCGAGCAATAATGCGGCGCACCAAATTATCGCTCAGTGTTGTGTGGAGCATGGTATGACTCCTGTACATACGGAAAAAGAGCTGGGAACAAGGGAACAACACAAATACATGTATCGGTCAGAGGTTTATACATAGAAAAAAGATTAAAAGATGAATGGACTGGTTATCCGATGGAAGAAGCGTTTGGTAGACCAACAAAAATGACGACAAACTGAAAAGGCTAGAGCTGGACGTCACCGTGGAGACCACCGTTAAGTATTCGAGCAGGTAGGCTATGATTGGGTTTCGGAAATTGTCTATTAAAAGAATTTATTAATATTCCTTGATTTATTCTTAAATGTAGTACATGTGAAATGTAAGTCGGTAACTAAAAGAAAATAAAATGCTGTATCGAATTTATGCTTTGAACGAATTTTTAAAGACGCACGATTCCTGAACAAATTCAGGAACTCCACGAGCTACATGTATGTTTGACGTCGTCGGTGCACCGGCAGCTATTTTCGATGATTCGTTTATTGAAGAGAAAAATGTTATTTATTGAGATATTTTACTAAAATTTCTGTGAATTATTTAAATAATGTTGATTTTAATGCATGCAAATTTAAAACTTTATAAGTGAAACAAAAAATATTGAAAATGTTCGCGTTTTTCTGGGACATCCCTCGTATAGTGTTCCCAGAAATTACTGAGCCTCCCATTAATTTTTAAAACTATTGAAAATAGAAAGCCTATTTAGCAAGAAATTGTTAAATCTTGCGATTTTTCTGAAATACCGAGTATTTCACTGTCTACTTGTATTGTATGATACAAAATATTAAAAAAGAAGAGGAATTCAGTTAAGGAAAATAATTTGTACTTTAAGTAAACTAGCATTCACAGATCAAACAAGGCTTCGATATTTGCTCTGTAAAACAAGACAAAGTGTAGAAAAATGGGGTTCCTAGCCCTACCAGCTATTTCCCTCTGCCGATTTCCTTTCTATTTTTCAATATTTTGTCTCACGTGACTCAATAGTTGACAATGGAATACTCAGTGTTTCAGTAGTATCCCTAGTTTTGCAATTCTTTGATGGTAAACATCTAGAATAGGCTTTCTTTTTCAAAAGTACTCATAGCAATCGACGGTACTTTGATTAAAATTTGATTTCAAACTATAAATGTTTTATTTTAAAATATTTTGAAAAAAAAATTCACGAAAAAATTCTCAACAATTTTTGGGAACACTCTATCACTATGTATTGCTGGAATTTTTTTTTTTTTTTTTTTTTTTTTTTTTTTTTTGATAAAACAATATTCATCTTTGATACATGTATATTGTTTCATGTATATTAAAACACCTTTGAATTAATAAAACTTATCTTTAACAAAGGTGTTATTATATAAAGAACAGATATCACATGGAATGTAATTCTTAGAAAAAATAAATCGAACTGGTTCTATGGAACTTACAAAGAAACATAAATGATGTGAGATTACAGACTTCATTGAAAATCTTTTAAAATTTAACAGAGATTTTATTATCTATTTCAAAAATAAATGAGACATTCTCCCACAAAGGGAAATTAATGTCAAAGAAATCTTAGGATTCTAACCGAGTAACAGAATCATAAATACTGCTCAGTATCAATACAGTTTTTATTAGCAATGTCGACGATATGGTGTGTCCATGGGGTTCACCGTCGATAATGGAGGTAGAAACGTATTTCAGGAGTTTAAATTCTTAAACCTCAAATCATTTTGAAAAATTCAGCATATGCCATCTGCAGGTGATATTTGATACCCAGAAATACTTTGTGAATCAAAATCATCAATATTAAATATCACGTTAGCATTAATATTGATGTAGTGTTTAAGGCCAACAAATAGAAACGAGTTCTATCTACTTTTGACCAAAATTAATTATTAAGCTAAAACATGTTAATGACATCTAAAAAAAATTGCCAAACGTGTACTCTTTTTAAACAAATAACTCTTAATTTGAATGCCAAAGGTATTCCTATTTGCTGAATCATTCGTGGCAATGTCCGAGGGTAATTATTAATAAGACCTTCAAGGATACAGTGCCAGATCTTAGATTCACATAGTTTTATAATTATAATACTTTAATCTTGTATAAAACAGGAAATACACTTCTTATTTCTTCAGTAAACAAGGATCTCCTATAGAATGGGTGAGAAATATAATTTGTTTCAATATAGTGACACTCAAAAATCTGAAATTGAAAAACGAACTGTTTGTTATCTTCATATTTCATTGTACCCATATTTAGAGTTTAAAGTTTTAAATTGAATGAATGTATAACTGAAATAGCTGAAGATATAATTGATTAACTACAAGTACGTCTCCTAATTTAAAAAAAAAAATGAGAAACATTTAAGCAAATCATACCATAGGCCTGCCTCGGTCTCTTTACCTTAATATTTTTTTTACTTTTCAATTTGGAACCTGGATTAAAAATTTTACAAAAAAAATTATTTTAAAAAAAATCAGGAGATTCTAAGTTACAGTGTGTCGGTTTGAATGTAAAATTGCACCTGGAAAATCTAAATTTATATCTTGTATTTTTTTTTAATAAAGGGAAGTGATTTAGTTCAATTGGATTTAAATAATATTATTTAGAAAGCCATAGCAAAATGATTTCTTTTCGTTTTTTAAATAAATCTTTGAAATAATAAAAAATGTTTGAGACAAAGGGATTGTTTTGGAGTATATTTTCAAATAAAGTTACCAATGACAAAGAAATCAAACTGGTAAATTGGGAAAAATATAGAAAAAGGCGAGATATAAAATAAATTATGTTAAGACAGATAAAAAATTTCCCGATTCAATAAGTTGAAATGAGCAAGTGTTAGTTTATAAAATCGAAGTGAAATTTTCATGTCAATGAATTTATGTTTTATGTAACTGTTTGATGAATCAAATAAATATAAAATACTTTTGTTTCTAAGGTGGCTTAAAACGGAGTGTCGCGACGCTTCTAGCGTTAGCAGCCATCGTTTTAGGTAAGTAATGTTTAAGCTATAGATATATATAGATAGCATAGAAGATTTTATTTCATTGACATACAAATACATTTTTTCACTATTCACTTAAAACAATACGTTAAATCTTTAAAGAGGGCAAAGAAAAACTCAGGGGAGTAAAAAAAAACCTCTTGCAGCAAAACGATTTTTTTAAATAGAGCACATTTTCAAACAGAAGAAAGAGGAAATGAAATCTAAATAAGTAGCAAGAATACTAAATCTCAAGAAAAATTTAAATATCAGACGGGGCAGAAAAACATGTGACACAAAAACCTGGGTAAGGGAAATTTTATAATTTAAAGGAACCTTACTTTATTATTTTTAAATTCAATTTTCTTTGTTTGATTTTATAAAAGTCGCAACAAACATTTTCTGTTGAAATTGGAATATAGTCGATGTGCGTTGACTTTTCATACCTCTCTTGTTCCCTTGCATTGCTCTATTAGGAGCCCCAGATAACAGAGGAACTGAGTTTATCATTGGTTTTATGGAAAACAATGGCGTCTCTATAAATGTGGAGCTCTTTGTCACCACCTCCCGCACCACCACAGTCAGTGTGACAGTGGACTCCCCCAAATGTACTAACCCCAGGATTTCCGAGTCCTTCAGTGTCACAGCAGGGCAGGTCAAACAGCTGTTTTTCAGTCCAAGCATCAGGTTCGTTTAATGCTAGATACTCATTTCATTAAATGATATTTAGGGTCTTTCAAAAAGGGATGAAGTATAGGAAAATAATGATAACAGCTGGATTATTTTCAACAATTAATAGTTTTAAGATTTCGAATAACCACATATTTGTGACTCGGAGAAATGAATGGCAAGAAAAGGAGACGCGTCTTATCTTTCTATAAATAACGTAAACTTGGCATGAATTACACAGATATTATTCTTAGCAAATTATATAATTATAAAAAATATAAGAAATACTTATATTTTCTTAGAATGGCGGGATCTAGTAAGTCCAGTAAAGGCATCCGAGTTAAGGCCTCTGACGAAGTGGTCATTTACGGCGTCAACAAGGAGCGCTACTCCTGTGACGGCTTCGTCGGTCTACCAATAGATGTACTATCCGATGAGTACTACCTGGTCACGTGGTATCCTCCTTCAAAGCAGAGTGAACTGTTAGTGGTGGGTGTTCAGGACTCTACTTCCGTCAGCATTACAGTAACTCAGCACATTGGGAGTAAATACATTAACTATGCAGGAAAAAATTACTATAAAGGAAATGTAATAAAGGAAACCATTCATAAATACGATACTTGGCACTTGGTCACGAGTGGTGACCTCACTGGAAGTTACGTCAAATCAACTAAGCCTGTGTCCGTCTTCTCCGGGAACAGGAAAACAAATATTGGGCGTGGTGGGTCTTCTGACCACTTAGTTGAACAAATGTTTCCTGTCAACACCTGGGGAAAAACCTTTGCTACAGTTCCCATACCCAAGCGAACCGTTGGAGATTATTTCAAGTTTATTGCTAGCGAAGACATCACCAAAGTAACGATCTCAGGTGGATATAGTTCATCTTTTACAATCAGCAAGGCGGGATACATGGTGCAGAAACTGATTTCTTCTAAGGCTTATTGCAAAATTGTGGCAGACAAACCTATCATGGTGGTCCAATTTGTCCAATCCCAGCAGAGTTCCTCCGAGAAATCTGACCCTGCTATGATGATTATCCCCCCTGTTGAACAATACGGTGCCGATTACACTTTCACGACTCCAAAATACTCACTCGGTTCTTATAATAACTACTTCATGTTCATCATAGAAGAAAGCAAAGCATCTGGATTAAGAATCGACGGAAAAAATTTTCCAACAAACACCAAATTTAATAAAATCTCAGGAACCAATCTGATTGGAGGTTATATATCTATCTCGGAGGGAACCCACACCGTCAGACACACCTCTCCAATCGCCATCTTTGGAGGTTTCCTGTATGGGCAGGCAAATTACGAGACTTATGGATTCACAACTGGTATGCGAATGGCCAAAGTTAACGCTGTAAGTATTTGCCTCTATTTTTGTTGTCTTTGGGTGTCTTTCCATGAAAAAAGTAAGGTATTATCTTGAATTTTAAACATGAGAAAACTCTACTTCTTCTATCTTCATTATGCAAAATTGTATATTATGAAAACGCATTAGACGCACAGTATATAAATCTGTTCCAACGTGACCTTAACAAAAATTGTTAATGAATTCGATAAATGAAATAGCTTTCAACTTTGAAGTTAATAGAACGATGAAGTAATGTAAATGAAACTTGTTTAAACATTGCTTATTCATAGAGTATGTAATATCGCTTAGATTTGTATTCCTCCGCCGACTTTTGTTTTTATGTTGAATATTCATAGAGTATGTGATATCGCTTAGATTTGTATTCCTACGCCGACTGTGACGGGTGACGGTATTGACAATGATTGTGACGGCAAGATTGACGAGGAACTGTGTACACCGGAAAACAAAAATAAAGGTGAAAAATTAATGTTAACAAGGAAATTATCTTAGACTTGGTATTTGTATGCTTTGATAAAAATCTTAACCAACTGCAAGATATCTTTCTATTCAATAACTGATTACCATTTCTTTTTAATGATAAAGTTGATAATTAAATCCGTCATTTATTTATGCTGATAGATGATGACGGCGATGGAAAGATTAACGAAGACTGCGCTAAACCTCCACCAGGTGAGTCAATGTTGTAATTGAAACAAAGCATCTTTTTTTTAAGGAAACAATTCATGAATAAGGATATAATTATCTATTTTAGTTGACGGTAGCTGGGCTAGTTGGACTTCATATGGTGCATGCTCAGTGACATGTCAACCTACTTCTGGCACGGTAACTGGAACTAAAACTCGAACTCGAACCTGTTCCAATCCGGCCCCTGCCTACGATGGGAAACAATGTGCTGGTCCAGGGACTCAAACTTCGTCTTGCTCGCCAACCAATCCCTGCAGAGGTATGGTAGCCCGGAAGACAGATTTTTTGTTAACTCTCTCTTTGACTACTAAATAGAATGAAGAAAAATACCTCAGGTACAAGTAAAGCAAATGGTACAAGATATTTCTCAAATTCTTGCTTTTGATTTAGTATGAACAATTAAAAGTATACATAAAAATGTATCCATATCTGAGTTAGATAAATTTCAATCAGAATATATTATTCAATTTGAAGTGGACGGAAATTGGGGATCCTGGGGGTCATACGGTGCATGCTCAGTGACCTGCGGAAGTGGTTCAAAATCCCGCTCAAGATCTTGTAACAATCCTGCCCCAGCAGGAGGCGGAAGTTACTGTGCTGGAAGTTCTACATCAACTGCAACATGTACACTGTCTGCTTGTCCAAGTGAGTTAAAAACGTTCTTGCATTTATCTCTTTTAATATATAAGTATATAAGTATGTCAACATTCGTGTACATTTTCATGGAATCAGTGTATAAAGTTATACGGAGAATACTGATAAAATCACCCAAAGCTGGGAAAGGAATTTAATTTACTGTTCATTTATTTATTTCAGTTGACGGTAAATGGGGCTCTTGGGGATCGTATGGGTCCTGTTCTAAAACTTGTGGTGGAGGGACACAATCAAGAAGTCGGTCCTGCTCTAACCCCGCCCCTCAACATGGCGGAAAATCTTGCCCTGGATCCACTTCTTCATCTCAAAATTGTAACACTCATAACTGTCCAAGTGAGTTTATTGATCAATATTTAGATAAACTTTTAATTCATTCAATTATCTTGACGAAAAAAGTCCTGAAAAAATTATTTCACTTCAAGAACTTTTAATTGAAGTGAAAAAAAATTACCTAATATTGTATTTTTACAGTTGATGGAAACTGGGCATCTTGGGGTTCTTACGGTGCATGCTCCTTAACTTGTGGTGGGGGTGTCCAATCACGAAGCAGAACGTGTACAAACCCCGCCCCTCAGTATCAAGGAAAGAGTTGTTCCGGATCAAGTACATCCTCTCGAAGTTGCAACACACATAACTGCCCAAGTAAGCAGTCGTAAAAAAGATTATCAATAAATACGATGTAGGTATTGCTTGGTAAAAAAAAATGTTTTTATGACACGTATAGCATACTAAATACTAACGCTTCAACCATGAAAAAGTTCAATCTGTCAGTGGGATACAGTTCGTCGAAATGCAAAAACATAATTTTAAAAATCAGGAAACAGTCCAAAATGGCGTATTACATGTACAATTTACATTGAACTCCTAGTTACAATAAAATTATGAAAGATAAATTGACAGCTTTGCTGTTTGTACAATCACAGAGTGTTAGATTACGTCAAAGTGAATTGATTTAATGATTCAATTTTGTAATCAGTTGACGGTTTCTGGGCTGGCTGGGGATCTTGGGCTACCTGTACAGAGACTTGTGGAGGCGGAGTCCAATCTCGATCCCGATCTTGTAGTAACCCCACTCCACAATATGGCGGAGCTTATTGTTCAGGGTTTTCATCCGACACTCAAAGATGCAATACGCACAACTGTCCAAGTAAGGATATAAATATTTTTAATATTTCTTTTTTAAATATTTTTATTTGAAGAACTTCATTAGAGGTCCCTACAACTTAGCTCACCTGAGATGAAAGCACAAGTGTGTTTTTTAAATCAAATTTTGTCTGGCGTCCGCCCGTCTGTCTGTTCGTCTGCTTGTAAACTTTAGAAAATATTTAGATTTTTTCACAAGAACCACTAGGACAATCTCAACCAAACTTGCCACAAAGCATTCTTGAATAAAAAGAATTCAAATGTATTAAAATGAAAGGCCAGGTCCTCTGTCAAGGTGACATAATTAAAAATTATTTGGAAATTTGTTAGAGTTATTCACAAATCATATTCTCAGGAACCACTGGGTCACATTAGGGGGATTAAATTTTTACACTGGACAAATATATAAGAAATAGTTAAAAAAAATTCTTCTCAAAAAGAACAGAAAAGAATAAGCAATTCTACTCAGGTAGTACATATTCATTTTTTTAAACCATGGCTCCTTGGGAAAGATAGTAACTCAATAGGGGATCAAAAATGTAAATAGAATATAAACGAAAATATTTTTAAAAATCTTCTGAAATAACAGTACCTTGAGAAGTGAGATTGTTATGCAATAATCCTCTTATAGTGAAGATTCATTTTTATTTTCAAATGAAATCATGGCATCCTGGGTATGGTCGAACCACAATATAGGATAAATATTTTGTAAAGGATTTGAAAAATTCATTTGAAGTATGGATATGGCCACTCTATGCAGGGATGTTGATTTTTTTAAATAATGGATTGTAGGATTAGAGGCTAAAAATGCAGCTTTTATACCCAATTTACAATTCCTTCTTTGGCAGAATAGCAATGGAGAAAAGGTCAGAATAATATTGAAACATCTCAAGGATGGATTGTTTTCAGCTAGGTTATATCATGACCCTTTCGAACGAGGATAGAGCCCTAGTATGGGAAAGAAGTTTTCATGTGAAAAAAGTAAAAATTATTAAAAATATTTTGATTTGAAGTAATGGAGGACCAAGGTATCTCAGTTGAGCATTGTGACTCTTACTGGTATTAGATTCCTGTTGTTGATTCATCAATAAGGTCCAAAGATTGTCATTAAAAATCAATTATGTCAGTGCTGTTAAAAAAGTGTTGTAAATTTCGCAAGTATTGAATGGTCTGTAACTAGGCTGTCTTTTCCATAGGAAAATTGTGTGTTTTTTTAAAAAAGAATATTCAGTGTCCAAACATTTGAACGGCTTATTCATAGTATCTTTTCAGGTGAGAAACATTAAATATCATGAAAAATGATCCATACTGATCAACGATTTTATTGTATACTGCATGGCAATCTGTAAAGCAACATTTCTTCTTTTATAGTACATGGAGGCTGGGGATCGTGGGGCTCCTGGGGTACATGTACCGTGACTTGTGGGGGAGGTTCACAGAGGCGTTCACGAAGCTGTTCTAACCCCACCCCTCAATATGGCGGTCTGACGTGCCCCGGATCTTCGTCCTCCAGTCAGTCCTGTAACACTCAGAACTGTCCTAGTAAGTCCAATTCTAATGTACCAAAAGTCAATTTGCTTTGTTTAATTAACGTTTAAATATTCAAAGGAATTGATTTTTTTACTAATTTTGTTCATAAAGTTACCTTACATGGATGCTCTTAGGAAATCAAATATTTTTGTATGAAATATGCTTTTGAGAATTAATTTTAACAGATAGGGACAAAAATCCTACCAATGAACACGTTTTTATTGTTCCATTTAGTTGATGGTGGTTTCTCTAACTGGGGAACATGGGGCACCTGCACCGTAACTTGTGGCGGAGGAACACAGGTGCGCAGGCGCAGTTGTTCTAATCCTGCTCCACAGTATGGCGGTGCACTCTGTTCAGGGGCGATAAGCCAAAATCAAAACTGTAACACACAAGTCTGTATCAGTAAGTTTGAAATTTCTGTTTTATTTCATATCATTATATTTATTAAATCATACATTTAACGTATGAATGATCAAAATAAAATACCTGCACTCAGACACAATGCATGATTGAATTGCGCTTGTTTTAAAGACAATGCTCGAAAGATCAGAATTGGCAATGTGCCTTAATATAAATCATAATTGCGTATCGTACGTTTTCCCCAATACATTTAACGGATACATATGATCAATTATCGTTTAAGAGTAATTAAAAGATTAGCCCCAGTGTAAACAAAAAGGAAATATCTTGTTTAAGAAAGCATACGTTTACCAGTTTGTTGGATATCGACTGATAAATTTCCAAATCTCTAATCACTGATTACAATTATTATAAAACATTTTTTGTGAACAGTCGACGGTGCCTGGAGTCAGTGGGGCGCCTGGGGAACCTGCTCTGTATCATGTGGTGGCGGGAAACGGTCACGTGCTCGCACCTGTACCGATCCTAAACCAGCTAATGGCGGTAAAAGCTGTTTGGGTGATTCTAGTGTGTTGGAGGATTGTAATAGTCAAGCCTGTCCCACTCCGGCCGCCGGAGCCTATGTACAGGTAACAACGACAATTAACATTCACATACAGCCCACATACATGTTATAAAATATGGTCCAGATATAGGTTACAATAATATGTGGTTTCCATACAGGTAAAAAAATTACTCGACATACAGGTTACAATATTGTGTAGGCTTTTACTTAAGGTTAAGATGCAGTTTACTTAATGTACAATAACGTAAGATAATTATATTCAACGTATAGATAACAATGGATTTATTAGTGATGATATCAGTTTTAGACTACGTACATTTCTTAATTAATGCAAAATATGCATGAGGTACAGTTAACAATAACGTGTAGAATAAAAAAAGATTTTTCTGTAAAGGATTTAAGATCTCTCTCTCTCTCTCTCTCTCATCACTGAACGGATATTGAAAGAATGCATTGTTTTCAATATTGTTGCTTTTAAAATAACAGCTGTAAAATGTACACATATCGGATATTTATATAACAATTACATCATATATCTTCTTTTTATTCCACTTTGTACCATTACAGTTGTGTCCTACCGGATGGTTTACGTGCCAGTCAGGTGGTATAACGTGCATAGACAAAACGTTCATGTGTGACTGCGCATCAGACTGCGACGACGGAAGTGACGAATCAACAGGTTATGCCGGATGTTCTGGCGCAGTTATAGCAATGTGTGAAGAAAACAGTTCTGGTAAATATTCATATTGAAGTGTTACTCTTTTAATTTTTTATAAACTGTTTGACGTACTATTTTTATCGTATAATTTTTAAGAGGCTTAATGTGTGAATGTTGATTGTAAAATTGTTTACATGTTATTTCTTTGCCAGTGTAAATAAAAATCTAGTTCATGAAATATATAAATCAGAAATTTAAAATACTTCGCATGGATTCTTTTTTTGGAAAATTAGCATCTCTCACAAGGCAAGCAAAGACTTTTTTTACGTTAATGCAGAAATAATTTATGTGCACACTGTCTCATATCATCTCAACTTGTTTACTCATACTATTTTAAAAGGTACGCTGCTGATTTCGCCTTTGGCTTTCCTAACCCTGCTCATAGCTTTGATTTTCAACATACTCCATTAATTGTACCCCTGAACAACTGATATATGGACGGAAACTGAACACAGATATGTACTGACAGTAAAGTCTCTGTACAGCGTGACTTCATCTTCAACAATAAAGTCATCAATTGCAGAACCGTTTAAAAATCTCCCAGTAACATCAGATGACGAAGTGACTGGCGGAACGGATCAATCACGTGATGAACGGCTTCAGCAAGAGAAAACATGATTGTTAGAAGAAGCATATTGATTTAAAATAAGAGTTACTGTCTCTCATTTTTTAGATGCATACTCGTACAAGTACTTTTGTGTTTTTTTTTATATTGTTAGATATTTCTTAATTTGAGAAAAAGGAGAAAAGTCACTAAGTTTCAGTGTAATTCAATATAATGTTTGCAAGTAAACCAGTGATATTAAAGATAACTAAGTTCGCGAAATTTTTAATATCGATGTCTGTAATTCCTACTGTTTTTATACGGTTTTGAAAATTTCTTGTAAGAATTTGCTATAACAAACTAGGTTAATAATTGTTTATACGACCTCATTGTCTGTTTTTAAGTTTTATGTTTCTTATATATGAGTAAGAGCACCACTTTTTGTATTCTGTGTTTTAATTAAGTTACGTTGAAGAGTTAAATGGGGCTTGATTTTTAATTATATCAATGGAAGAATAATAAACTAAGTATTAATTACAACCGCTTTTGAAAAATTGTTTCAACTTTTGTTAATAATTATCATGGCATTGTGAACACTAAGGAAGTTATTCAATGACATTAAAATTTACTTTCATGCATTTTTAAATTTTATTTGCAATTCCATTTTCAGTTGATAAAATATATTGTAATAGGAGTCTGTTTTGCCATATATTATACAGACTATTTTCCTTAAATTATACATAATACAAATGTACATAATGAAAACTTGTGTTTTATGATACGTTTCTCTGCATTTCATGTGTTGGTGGTTTATTAAATATTATATTGCAATTTAAAGTGTTTGAAGTAAAAGTTGACATTTTTATCACCCTCTTTGAGATACTCTTCTTTGGGAGGATGCTTAAAGTTCCATCAAGATTGTTTTAATGGGACAGGACAGATCCTCATGGGACAGGACAGATAATCTTACAACAAAACAACAAAAATGCGCTATGGGCAGACAAAAGCTTTAAGGAACCCCGCTTCTTGAATTTACAAGTACTTCTGCCGAAGAATTCTTGAAAATTGTGTTGAAAAATATCTCCAAGTCCTGCGGATTGGAACCAATGGCTACGAATACTGTATGTTTACTTAAAAAACCGGGTTTCATATTTTAGCGGCTTTGGCGCGGACATTAATGCGCTTATTCATGAATACCGCTAAGAAATCATGAATAACTACAATATATAGTGCGTAAGTGTGTATCGCTAATTCATGAATACGCCAACAACTCAATATCCAGTGACTGCGCATAATTTTGAATACGCCAATTAATGTACATGAACAGTATCTTGAAAACCTGCATCGAAAATGTTCTACCAATTGCAATCATCACGCGTCTTGTTAACCAATCACTAGCCGAAGGTTTTGAAACAAGCAATAGTTAAGCAGCTTCTAAAGAAACCTTTGCTGGATAAAAAGTGTCTAAAGAACTATAGGCCGGTTTCAATCCTATCGTACGTTTCAAAAATTATTGAAAAAGCCGTCGCAAAAAGAATCGAAAATCATCTCAGTTCGAACACTCTGCATGTCAATCTTCAGTCAGCATATCGCGAAGTTCCTTCCATAGAGACCGCCCTTCTTAGAGTTCATCATGACATTGCGGTATCTCTTGACAAAGGATTTTGTGCTGTGTTACTGATGCTAATCCGTTTGGATTACGGGAATGCTTTTCTTGTCGGAACTAACAAACAACTTACAAACAAGCTTCAACGTGTACAAAATACAGCTGCGTGCAAAATAACATTATCAAAGTCAAAATTTGACAATATAACTTCTGGCTTGATCAATCTACACTGGCTGCCGGTAGAGTTTCGTTGCTAATTAAAGACTTGTTTATGTATACAAAGCACTCCACGGACAAGCTCCAACATATATTTGCGAATTAATTGAACCGTACACGCCTTCGCGTAGCCTACGCTCAGAATCATGAAATCTTTTAGTGTTTCCGTCAACAAGGACTGTGACATATGGAAAAAGACGATTCGACAGAGCTGCGTCTACCTTATGGAACTCTCTTCCTTTGTATCTGAGAAAATATGACTCAATAGGAATTTTCAAGAAAAAGCTAAAAACTTTTATTTTTAAAAAGGCATATGACTTGCCTGTAAATAGACTGTGTATTTAAGCCTTTTATTATATTATGGACACTGCATTTTAAATATTTATCCTATTTATCCTTATTTAGTACTTTTGTTGATGTTAAGAACACTGAGATTTCATATACATTGACTGTATTTATCTTGTAATTTCTTATATGACTGCTGTACATTTTTAAAATTTATTTGTTTTACATAATATGCTTGTACAGCGCTTGAGAGTTTAATATATAGGGCGCTCTATAAATGTTTAATAATGATAATAACATTTATTCATTTTATATCATAACGGAAATACTTTGTAGAGAGGCTATTGTTTTTAAACGACAATGAAGATGTACTTAAATTGTTGCGTTTTTCAATTAATTAATTGAACTTAATTGATTTTTAGAGCATTCTGAATATTAAACTTTAAACCATCTTTAATTTCATAAACAGATTAATGAATCTACAGGGCTAGCCTTATCTCGGATTATGTTTTTTTCTTTTGTTCCAAGATTAACATGACTGTACAGATGTGAAATATATATTAACCTTTTTAATTTAGGTAGTGGGGTAAGTGGATCATGAATTCCCTGTTAATCATAATATATGTATTTAAATACATACATGTATATATATATTGAACTGATTTGTTGGCCTTCAAAATGGATAGAAATAATGCGAGATAGTCATACTCGCTTTGGAACCACGTGAGAATTAGAAACTCTATTACCTTTAAATATGACAAATATAATTAAAGATAACTCGAGATTTGAGAAAAAAAAATACTGATGTAAAACAATTTTTTCACAGATCAGTTAATTATTCTTTCTAATTTACATGATCTAGTAAATGTTTACATATAATTTTCAATGAGGATACAAAACTATTTACTTAAAGAAAGGTATTTTAAAATTAAAATGGAAAAAAAAATCTTTCACAGAATCAGTTGCACATAAAAATTATCTTAGGAATCTTATTGATGGGTACATCATAGATATTTATTAAAATTATACATATAATGAGTCGTTATAGAAGCGATCACGAAAATTATAGATATGGAAAGTCGTTATAGAAGTATGCAGGGAATCCCAAAAAGCTTAGGAAAATGTCTATAAAGGTCAGTGTTAAACACTATATATCAAGGTAAATTCCAAAATGATTTAGAGTTTTAGAATCTCCATATCTTTCTCCTAGTTCTAAATTCTGAATTCAAATGTTTTTCATTTGAAACTATGGCTCAAAAAATTTATTATTTTAATGTTTTCAAATATGCATATTGAAAAGAAATTTTATTCTTAACTTTCTAAAATTCAATACCGATTTTGCACCTTTTATATTTTAAAATTGACTATTCAACTTCTAAATTATCAAATTTCAAAGTTGCTTGTATATTTTACATAGAGATTTAGACCTTTTAAATACAATTTTAAAATCTTAGAACTCTAAATCATTTTTAAAAATTGAATTGTTTTATATTACATAGACAATAAACTTGCTCTCAACGGAAAATTAACATTTAGATAAATTTTCTAAGTGTTAAATACTTATCTTATTCTTTAGAAATGAGAGCAGAAAACAAATAAAGCTTCATAGCTAGCGGAGAATGGATGACTGTTCACTGATCGTCGGCCATGTTTGATTGGAGGAGGCATCTTTTTACATTAAAAGGTGGATGAATCTTGATTTTTCCCAGAAATTCTCCTGATTCAAATCATCAAAAGGACACATCAAATTGATATTTTGAATGGCTGAAGTTTAAGACCAAAGATTGATGAAAATTAGTCTACTTATGGCCATAAACGTTTATAGACTAGAACTAAGTCTAAAACATGTTGCCAAATGTGCATACACTTTTAATCGTATTGCACCATATTTTTGAATGCCAAATGTTTTTTTACATTGCCAATTCTCTCTTTTGTACTAATTACCAATTGCCTGACATTAATCGTTAGTAGGACCTTTATTAAAGTTTATCGTGCCAACTCTAAGGTTTACACATTTTAATCATAATACTTTAATCTTGTATAAAACAGAAAAGACATTTCTCCGTTCTTTAGTAACCACAGACCTTTTGTAGAAATGGGTGAGAGAATATCCTATGTTTATATTTATATAGTGAAACCTAAAAATATGAAAATTTAAAAAAAAAAATGAATTTGAACCATTTTAAAAATTTAAAGTTTTACAAAATTCTTTCACATTTGAGAATAAATCGAGAAATCATATTGTATACCTTTATAGTGATATATGTGTTTCATTTTCTTTTCAAATTCTGGAGTCTGGATTGGATATGAAATAAATAAGAATTGACTATTATCAAACGGATTGAAATTTTCAAAAATATATCAGGAGCCGATGAATTATAATTTGTCAGTATTATAAGAAATTACCATGGGAAAATCAAAATTGATATCCTTTTTTTTTAAATAAAGGCCAATGCAGTTCGGGGTGATTGGATTAAAATGCTAATTTTTCCAAAGAATGCAGAAAGTATTACGTTTTAAAATAGATATTAGAATTGACAAACAAAATGTAAAAAAGTACAACTTTATGGCAGATTATTAATATATGTTGAAAAGAAAAGAAATGCCAAGGAAAAGAACTTGAAAATAGAAAGTTGAGAAAAGGGAAGAAAAAGTTCAAATTAATTACGTTTAAGTATTGGTGATAAATCTTCTGATTCTACAAGTGAAAATGAGAAAAGCTTTAATAAATTAAATATCCTAACTTTTATAATGTAAATCTTGGTTTCTTTAACTGTTGGATTAATCA